TATCATTAGGTCATCTTTTTAATCTAGGCTTTTTTTAAACCAATAGGGATCCTAATGGCATTTTTAAGAGTTTACACTTAGCTGATGGTTGATTCTAAACCTTGTTTAGCATGCTGTCCTGGGAGAGAGCCCTGAGCTCATAAGATCCTCGAGCCTGGGGCTCCCTCCCGTTTGCAGGGCAAGAGGGGAGTTTAAGCTTAGGTAGAACTCGAGAACTACCCTGCTGTAGTAGCTAATGAACAGATAGTTATTGCTCTGAAGAGATAACTACTTACTAGGAGCATGTCTATGGTGCCCATATGGATTAGTCAATTAACTTAAGTTGCATGTTTTTAGATGGTGGGAGGAATGTATAAACTCCGCGCAGAAACGTTGGCTGGCTTGGTAAGAACTAGAACCAGTGAAGTTCTTGCTGTGAGGCAACAGTGCTAACCACTGGGCCACCCTGCCACCCATCTAGGAAAGGAGGAGGAGTAGGGGTGGACGAGGGGATTCTTCAAAATGAAGATGGCTGTTATAAGGAACTTAGGGTATTTATAGTGGCTTAGGAATCATCTGATTGATGAATCATTATTTGAATAATGTGGGACCGGCCGCAAGCAATCATAAGCACGTGATCCTCTCAAGATTAGTTTATAAATAAACTTCACTCCATGGCGTGATTTATACACGTGATGCAAGCAACAGTTTTAGTTTAGCCTATATTGTTTACGTGGCAGATGTTACGCTCTCTCTCTCTCTCTCCTTAACATGCCTAAATATTTGTGCTGCACGACAATATAACAGATTTTGTTGTCCTAGTAAATGAGATTTAAGGTTTGAGACTGGTGAAATCTGTGCTGAAATGAAAGAGTCAGAGTTGGTGTCATTCGCTACAGTTTTTAATGACGCGTGACCTGCATTGACAGGTAAAAATCCAATTTACCTGTTTGACACGAAGGCATGGATCCGATTCATATCGGATAAATTTCAACATACAAACATGGATTGAATCTGGTTTGAGCTAATGAGAATCCATGTGATTTTTTTTCCTGCTTATTCATACATGGGCCATATCCGATCTGTGCCACATGAGAGAAAAAAAATCGAAAAAAATCGAAATTGGGTCATTTGAACAGTGCAGTGTAAATGCTGCCTATTGGACTGATACCTTCTGCGTTCATTTTTTATTTTTTATTTTTTTACCTGAAAATATTTTGCATGCATGTTTGTCTTGACTTTTATTATGGTAATTGAGTTGATTGAATGCATTTCAGACTAAGAACCTCAGCTTGAATGTTAGAAGTTTTAAAATAATATGGCAGTATGATAACTGCAAAGATCAACAAATAATGCTAAAAAGACAGTTTGTCTACAGATGAAAATGTTGCAAAAGTCTACAAAGTGTATAGTAGTTCAAAACCAGTACAACTGACCTCCATCTGCAGAACATAATATGTATTTGATCAATTTTCACACTGTACATTGGAAATTGACGGTAAATGAACGTGATTTGAGAGGAAACTGTGCAAGTAAAGGTATCTCACAATGCTAACACATAACCCATCTCTTTTCTCCATTTGTAAGCCACTGGAGGTTGGGTTCATTGCCAGTTTCACCTTTGGCTTCCTTAGATGAGTCTAACAGAGGCTTAAAATTAATTAAATGCATTGATTTACTGAGCACTGTTGATTGGCACTTGGCACTTGTTTTATAATAAATGAACTTTACACTCAGTTATTTAACTGATTTGAACTAAGCTGAATAATGACCCTTTTCTCCTATTGTCTAGCAACAGCACTACAGCACAATTTGTGTTATTGTCCTGTTTAACACTGTGTTTTAAATTGCTTTGAATGCTGTAAAAGTGCTACATAAATAAGGTTATTTGACCAAAGAAGGTTTGTCATACATGCATGCATATAGCACCAATGTTAGATCTCGTCAGAAAATCCAAGGATATGGGTAGCTCACAAGACAGCACCTCATCAAACACATATAACTTTTTTATTTTCTCTATTATTATTATTACTATTATTATTATTATTATTATTATTATTAATATATTAATATATGATTATAATAATATAAAATATATTTTAGAGGGCCCAAAATAAATAAATATAAGATTAATCCACTCCAAAATTTTATTTATGTCATTAATTACTCGTCATAATGTTATTCCAATTCCCTAAGGCTTTTGTTCAACTTCAAAACACAAATTAAGATATTATAAATGATATCCGGGAGCTCTCTCAATACAGATTAACAGCAACTGTTCCAAGATGTTCAAAATCCAGAAAAGGAACCAAAAAACCTTGTCATAACAATCCATCTGGCTTCAGTGGTTTAACTGTAATCATATAAAGCTCCAAGAACACTTTTGTGTGAAAAACTTGAATGACTTGTTTGTCTATATCTTCTATCCTGTGTGAGTTCAAGGTGCGTGTTCACTACGGACAGTATGACGTATTGACAAGGCCTAAAAATAACACTCAGTAAGCACCAAATGCAAGTAAAACCAAGCATTTCTGAATATTTATACTAGTGCCAGTTATCAGTTGACATACATTTTTTTTTTTATGTTTAGAGACTGTTTTTGAGTTTCATGGTAGGTAAAAAAAATTGGCTGGTAAACTTGATTATCGGTGGTCATTGGCGAGTTCAGTAGATTTACATGTAGGGCCTTTGTATTGCTATTGGTGTCAATAAGCAAGCATCATATTTCCTGTTGTAAACACACACCCAGATGTAATGCAAAATATGTTAAGTGAAAAAAGTTATTTGTACGGTTATTTTGGCATGCAAACGTGTTCTTGGAGCATCGTATGAATCATTAAGATCATATGAAATGCTTTGACTACGTTTTACACAAACACACATACATACTTTTCAGGAAAATTACCGGCAATTTTCCAGAAAGAGATCATGTGTGAACAGACCCTTTTTGAAAATAAATTTGTTCCGGCAATTTTCCTGAAAGAGAAGTTGAAACATTACTGGTAATTTTCTGGATTGCTGCTCTGTGTGAACAAAAGGAAAATTTCCGGTAAGAGCATGTTAACGTTTAGAATGCCCTGACATGAGACGTCTACTCCAGCCAATCAGAACATTCAGACGCATCCACATCCATGCTGTCATAATAATAAGAGCCTTTGAATACTTTTCCAGACACATTTAACTGCTAGTTGTTAGTCAGGTTACGTTTCTATGGTCTTTAATAGTGCTAAATGTGGAAAAAATTATTGATAAAATGCTTATGATAAACTGCCATAAGTTTGCCCTGCATTCAGCTGTGTGATGCTTTGGCACATGAAGAAATACTCCAGTGAGTGCTAGCATGTACATCTCGACATGCGAACATTTCCTCGGGGCTTCTGTCTTTGGATGTCTCTGGAACAAAAGCACCTGCATGAATGCTAAAGTGTAAAGTCTAAATAGGAAACAGCTGTGGATATGCGCATCAATACAGCATAGTTTTTGTTACACTGCAAAACAATAATGAATATTTTTACAGTAGTGTAACGGTTGTGTTTAGAGTTGGGGTGAGGCGTTAATAAATAGAATTTACTGGGTTGTTTAATAAATAGCATAAATAACACTGGGTACAACTACAATTTTTACGTTACTGTGATGGTTGGGTTTAGGGTTGGGGTAGAGGTAGATGTCAATAAAATACAATAAATAGGAAATTTAATAAATAATATAAATAATTCTTGCTTTCAACTTTCAGCTGCAACTGTATCTGATTCAACCATGCTAAAGCTTTAAATAAAAGTGAAACCATCAACAAAAGCCTCACCCCTATTATGTTTGCAAATACAAGCCCACCTGTTTTGGTATTTTGGAATGGATGTGTGAATAGTCTTTTCCGGAAAAAAATCCGGAATGTCCTGTTTTGTCCTTCCACAACGTTTTTTTATTTATTTATTTAACGGTTTTACTTTAAATTTACTTTCCGGTATCACTGTGTGAAAGGGGCTAATGTCTCAAGACCATCGCTGTCTATGGAGGATGAAGATTTCATCCCAAAACATCTTAATTAGTGTTCTGAATATAAACAAAGGTCTCAGGGGATTTGAGCGACACAACGGTGAATAATTAATAGCGCTGTGCGATTTAGGGAAAATATATAATTGCGATTTAGATTTATTTATGATTTTAATTTTGTTGTCAAGCTTCAGCTTAATAATCTGTGTTGAAGCTTCTCACTGCTAAAATGCAGTGAGTAGTAGTAAAAAAAAAGAAACTTAAAAGATATTAACATATATGAGCAAACAACTCTGAAATAGTTTTTTTGTTGTTGTTTGCTGCTAGATTGAGTGTCACTGGCAATACTTTTAGTTGACTTTAGCAGAACGCTCCTCATAGCCGCCTGCTGTGCTTTTTTAGGTGCTGGTTCTTGTCAAGCTGTGGCAACAATTCTGCGACAGCTCTTACAACTTACCTGGTTTTGTTTGGTGTCTGTGACTTTGAAACCAACATATTCCTATATTACCAATGTACCGTTTTTCCTTGATTTTATAGTCTATTAATGCTTCTGAAGCGGCAGATGCCATCATCCCACTTGTTGGCGCTTTCCTGTTTGTTTGTTTGTTTTAATGTGGGTGTTCCGCATAATTCGACTGCTCAATTCTCATTGGGCAGAACGAAAGTGTGCTCACTCAATTGGTTAGTAAGACTGTCACACATAGACGGCAGTCACGCATTTACTCTGGGTGAGGGAAGTTAAATAATATTATTACATAATGCCTCTTGCGAATAGCTAATCACATTGTTTCAAATCGTAATTCGATTTCGATTAACAGCACAGCCCTAATAATTAACAACAAAATTTTCGTTTTTGGGTGAACTAACCCTTTAACACATCAAGATGTTAACCCTTGGCTTATGCTTATGCATTCAAGTATGGAATGACATGAGAGCAAGCAAGACATTTTCAATTTAAAGTGAACAATCCCTTCAAGTGCCACATCTGAAATAAATAAACTTTGTATTTCACAGAGCTCCTTAAAATACTCTCAGTCCAGCCTGTCCTGTAGTGCCTCAGCGTGTGCTTCATTTTCCACTTTCTCCTTTTCCTTACCCTCATGCTCTTTAAATATCCCAGCCAGTGTTTTGAAGCGAGGACCCCAGTCACACAGATTTCTGTAATCCTCCTTGGGCTCGAGCACCCAAGATTCAATAGAACTAAGTGATTCGGCCACCGAACCGTCTCCTTCATATGCATATGTGACCAGGGAGTCATACGGAGGTGTGGAGCTCTCCAAAAGACAATGATGGATGTAAGCTCGGATGTCCTCGCTGTCCTCGGCCGCGCTAGCCTGATCGGCCTTGTCCTCTGATCTTATTTTCTGCAGCGGCCCCGTCTCTTTGATGCCTTTGGGATTGCGTAACGTACCTATGTCGAAGGCCTGGGTGTCCTCTTCCCCGCCCCCCTCATCATCATAGTGGATCACATTGTCCCTGACGTCCTCTTTAGACGACATCAGAGTGTCCTTCTTCTTGTGTCTTCTCAGGCCCATATAGAGCACCACCATCACTGAAAGACACCACAGGCACTTGATTTGTTATGTCGCGTAATGCAACCTGACATACATACAGTACTATCTTTAAGTGACAACAAACTAGTGAGGGGAAAAAAGGGTGGTCACATGTTCTGGAGCCATTAGCTGATTTTTCTTTGTTGCTGTTGTTCTGACGTGGCTTTTCAAAATGGGACTAAAGAGAATGGCAGCCCGAGGGTAGCCATAATGCAGTTTTGACATGCTGTCTGTCACTATCGTAGTGCTGGGTTGTGTGAGAGGAAGGGAGGTTTTTTTTTTTTTCTTTCTGAGCTTTCATCTCCCTCCTCAGAGGCAGACAACGTTCGCTTTACTCAAAGAAAGATATGATAGAGAGAGAGAAATAGACACTGCTGCAAGAATTATGCCTAACATTTCAAGTTTTTAAAATAAACGGCACAATTTGGCTAAATCAGTCTGTCTGTGTTGTTAGCAAAAGGTTTGCTTGTTTTGTTATTTTTTAGTCTTTTTCATATTAAACATAATAGCTATCACATTCAAATCATTATTTCTGCATCAGCTCCCCCAAGTGGTTGCTGCTTAAAAGGAATCTCTCTTTTCTGTAAGACTGCCAAATGGAAATATGAAGTCAAAGCACATCTTTCCACTGACTGCTACAGAATTCATTTACCTAGTGCAATGTAAAGCTTTTATTTCAGTTTTATTAGGGATGTTCTTCAATATTTGTGTTTCATTGCTCATTGTTCTATTTTACATATTGAAGATTGTTTGTAAATTGTTATTATATAGGTAATCCATTACCATTTTTGTACAGTTTATATTATTTGGGTGGGGGTTTTTTTAACAAAAAAAAAACTGTGGCTTGTTTCTCATATAAACTCTAAATACTCTTTAGATAAATTTTCATATCCTCCAATAATTATGTCCAACAGTGTATTTACATTTACAGTTTATTAGTGTTTTTATTAGATTATATTTTCCCCAAAACAACTAGAGTGTAATATATATATATATATATATATATATATATATATATATGTGTGTGTGTGTGTGTGTGTGTGTATATGTGTGTATACATACACACACACATATATATGTATATACACACACACCCATATTTATTTGTACATACATATATATACATATATAATAGGTAGGCATAGATACATTTTTAATCTAGATTAATCTCTGAATTAATCTAGATTACATGGCTCATTTGAATTTTGCCAAAGGCATTCAGAATGTGTGCTACCCAAATAATAAGTCTTTGAGAACGGGTTTGTCAAGCCAGGTGGCGCATTAGACCAGGGGCTCATCTCCTGTTTCCAAAATGTATCACAACTGCTTAAGTAACTCTTCTACTATGAAAATTGGTGATGAAAATAAATGATGTGCAATAAGATGTACTTGTGTTTACTAACTGTTTATTCAGTTAAACATGAATTTTGAACTGGTGGCCTACATAAGCTCAAAACAGCTATCTTTGATCACCTTATTTTTGCTAAAGTCATAACTGAACTAAACAGAAATGGAATTAAGACGTGGAGTATGTATATATTAGTGGCATTATTGAAGTAAACGCTGTGATCAGTAAACACCATCATGTGGGACTTTTTCGCCATATATTCCGACAAGATTCACACATGCGGCTGTCAGTTTTTTTTGTTTGTTTTTTTTTCTTAATGTTTTTCATAGTGTTTTAGCAAGCCTTAAACATTTGGAAGTTTACAATTTCATAATTTCATAATAATAAACTTAATGTTTAATTAACAGTGTGGGAATGCACAGAGAATTGCTGTCTGCCAGGGATGACCAACCATGATGACTTCTGCATTGTCTTGGAGGATGAGTAAGTCAAGGCTGGCTTGGAAAATCTAGAATTGCTGAACTGGATTTTTAAGTATTCCCCAAATTAAAATCACCAAAAGTTTCCGACACTAATTTACTGCTACAACCTTTTAGGGAACTTTCACTGCATTGACTGATTGATTGTGTTGCTATCATTTTGAGAAACAGCTTTCATACTGGTTTTATATGTTATGCAATACACACATTCTGTCAGATTCTGTCTAAAATGTGACTATTCCTGCAAAATAAAGTTGACAGCATATTTTTTCTATGACAGTATAAAGAACTTTTTTCAGAGCTTAACATTGCTGTAAACTTTCAATAGATTTGTTTAACAAACTATGTAACATTTTGTTATCAGTGGAACATGTATTAAAATGCATTGTGTATGTATTTCATTAAAAAATTATATATTTAACATTTTATGAATGAGTAATTGTCATTAATACATTTGATGAAGTGGTGCTTGATTTGCTTAAATGATAAAAGCACATTCCACTAATAATAGTAAAATCATCTATCACTCAAAAAAAAACAGTCATTTTAACTACATTCATTCAAGTGTTTTTTGCTAAAAGAAAAGTCTTAAAAAAAAAAAAAAAATATATATATATATATATATATATATGTGTGTGTGTGTGTGTGTGTGTGTGTGTGTGTGTGTGTGTGTGTGTGTGTGTGTGTGTGTGTGTGTGTGTGTGTATTTATATACTCATATATATAGTGTTTTTTTTTCTTCTCTATTTACCCCATTAAATGCATTATTATTATTTGTGTTGTAATCTACTGTACCAGCTGCATTTGGATACAAATGTGTGTAACTCACCCAGCAGAATGACAATGCACAGCAGTATGGCCATCAGAGCTCCAGTGCTGAGTCCCATGGGGAAGAAGACGGCCTCCGCATTGCAGGATAGCAGGGATCCATCAGCGTCGCAGGAACACACCCTCACCGACACTGTTCCAGTGCTGCTTCTGATGGGATACCCTCCATCCTCCACCACCACTGGCACTAAGTACATGCTCTGCTCCAGTCGCCGAAAACCCCCTCGTCTGGTTACCACTCCAGCTGTGTTGTCTGAAACCAAGCCAATCAGACCATCAGACTCTTTTCCTATACCATATGATGCTTTGAATAAATTGTTAGAGCAATTTCCATAAAACTGCAAACAATCAGTGAAATGTTTTTAAAAACTGGGTACAATGCATTAGTAATAATCTTAAGTATTATTAAAAGACATCTTATAAGAATTAACAAATTACTTTCATCAGACCATGAATAAGCCCAAAATCTTAAAACAAGTCCTTCCAGAGCAAGATTATGAATGCACATTGAAAAATAATTAATTTCATGTTAAAATGCTGGGTTCATCACAAGTCCTTAATGTTGTCACAACACAAATCGATCTGTGGTGTTTGGGGTCTTCTAAAGGACCCACTCTCACCTACGAGATGAATATTTGTATAAAATTATGGGTTCTACACAATAGATTTATGTTGATACAACATGAAAGAATTAAGTTAACTTGTTAGTTTTAAAAAATTAAGGTGGATTGATTATAAAAGCTCAAGAACTGTGTTGTCTTAGCTTGTTTTAAATATGTAGTTGAACATACAGCATGCAGCAATTATGTGTAATGTTATTGTCGTAGAGTAATTCCATGCATTTGTCAACATTGCCATGAACAATATTATGTTTTTACCAAATTAGTGAATTTTTTGGGTGGTTGTGTGATTGAATTCACAGAATTTCTACAATGTATGTTGCACACTGTAAACATGCAGACTTTTTTGGTTACATCCATATCACATGCTTATTTTTTTCATTTAAAATATAAAAAAATGTTTCCATATTGATATTTTTCGGATCCCATAATAGATGTTGAATATAATGTTAATATATACTTTCTCTGTGAATTTATGTTTTGAGTTTTTACTGCAAATGTCACATCCATAATGCTGGTATTGCTTTAAATTGACCTAAGGTAATATATTAATATTAAGGTAAAATAATAATACTTTCCTTAAAAAGTAACTTAGTAACACATTCAATTACCTATTTAAGTGACTCAGGATTGTGATATAACACTTTTAAAAGCAGCTTTGCCAAACATTTTATTTGACAACAGCATATAAAGCAGCTTTGCCAAACATACCTCTCACTTAATTTTCAATACATGTATATATATATATATATATATACTGTTTATGATATAGTGAATTGTTTCAGTTCATTTGAATGGACATTCCCCAAACCATAAGGCCAACCAACAACTTAAACGTATGGTAGTAATCACATGTAGAAAAACATGGAGAATGCAGATTCAGTAGAGTTCATAAATGATTTCCATCTGTAGATAATCAGTAATAATCACATGTATGCTCTTAGAGATCATAACCTGCCATTTCTCCATGATAGAATATTATGAATCTGCAAACCACTTTTGCAGCACAGAGACTGGCCTAATTCCAGAATTTAGAAGGAAAATGGATCTCTTTGAAGTGGAAATAAGTACAGAAAAATGTGGTTCTGGTTAAGGGGATAACAAGCTAACATGAGTTACTCCTGGGAAAAGCATGATATACCTTTCTGAGAAGAGCCTCTGACGCAGCTGGAGTCCAAACAAAAGTAGGATGCACAACACTTCAGGCTGCCAAATAGCGTTTTTATCTCAGTAGGTGTATTTCTACCAATAACTCAAGTTTGCAGTCTTAACTATAAGTTTAATATCTTCTGAACTGAGAATTTATATTTGTTTGTTGGTAGATTGACCTTGCTTTTAGGCCTGCACAGACCAAACAGACATCAAAGATATAGTAGTGAAGACGGCAACGAAGCTCTGCTTGAAAACACCAAAAGGATGACAGGTGACTGCAGATGCACATGCTTTCTTGTGCCTTTGTATCTCCGTACAGTATTTCAGCAGGTATCTATAGTACAGAATATGCTAATCACTCAGGAGAACCAAAACTTGGACTGCAGGTATGCAATGTTATTAAGAACTTCTCTAAAACCTTTGATTTTATTTATATTTTTGGTTTAATTAGTGTGTGTTTGTTTGTGTAGTGCAGGGGGGGTGCCAACCCTGTTCCTGGAGAGCCACCTTCCTGCAGATTTCAGTTGCTACCCATAGCAAACACACCTGAACTAATTAATTAGGACCTGAACATCACATGATAACTACTGGCAGGTGTGTTTGATATGGGTTCTAACTGAAATCTGCAGGAAGGTGGCTCTCCAGGAACAGGGTTGGCCACCCCTGATGTAGTGCAGTAATGGTGTGATTAATCCCAGCGGTGAGTGGTTGGTTTATGGCCCAAAAATAGTAATTGAAGATATCTTTTAAATACATAGATTATGTAAAAACAATTAATAATAATAATAACAATGAGTGAAATATATAATCAAACGAATTGTCAGACTTGTTGTTTTAATCATTTGCATGTCATACACTATGCAAAAAAAAAAAAAAGATTAATTAATTAATTTAAAAACTGTGACCTGAGATCACAAAAGCATATAGTATTTTAGAATGCACAATATATAATATATAACAGTTCTGTTCAGTTCTTGCTGTTGGACAACATAATGTACTTTTGAGGCTTTTTAAGTCGAGAATGTAGTTGTTTAGATTACAACTATGCAGTTTATTTATAAGACTACTGCCTATTTTTCAATAATTTTATAGCATCGGATTCAGTGCATCGCCGCCATCAGCCTGTCTCAACAGACCAAAGAAAGTAATGGTTGAAGTTCTGCCACAAGAAGGCAACAAAGACTGCATAATAAGTCATTAGAGGAAGAAAAACAGCAGTTTCTCAGCTGAACAATTTATTATGAATCATGTAAGTAACATTTTGAGTCAATATCTCTTGTGTATGTTGTATTGCTGTGTTTGTACCTCTGAAAGTAACTGTTTTTTTTTTTTTTGTGTGTGTGTGTTTTTAAGCGTTTGTTTTGCTTTGGCTTCGGCTTTTTTACGGTTAACTATAGTGAAATCCCAATTGCAGCAGAGAAATACTGAGAAATCTCTGTAGATTGATGACATTTCACGCCGTTCAGCTTTATAATCATAAAATGTGAGCAAAAATGACCTGTTTTGTCAAATTAGACATTTGCTAGAGAATTATAAAAAAAATAAATACTAATACTAGCATACTAAAATTACCCTTGTGAACTGGCAACAGTTTCTGCTGTTCTAACGGTCAGCTGCAGATGAGAATGAGTGACGGAAGAAAGTAGTTCCTCATACAAAAGGATTTTTGGACTGTGTTTTTTATACACCCGATTATGCGATCAAACTGTTGTATAAATGTGATATCACACTTGTAGCAGTGCGATATGGCTGTTTATTGGCACTGGTGGGGAATACTAAGGCACTCGGCCTGTGGCCTCGAGCCAACACACTCCTGTCACCAGCAGAATGTTTGTGCAGTACATTTTGGAACAACATTGCAGTATTTAATTAATGAATGAATGTGTTGTGGAACGAATCAAGTGAGCCAGAGACTCACTGATCCATTCATGAAGACAATCACTTGATTGTTTCATAATAACTTACAATAACTGTTTGGAACAAATAGCTTTAATTAGTTATTCAGTGAAACACCCAGGAGTACTGCCACCTACAGAACAGCCAGTTTTATTATCATCTATTTATATGTAACGATCACAAACCAGCCAGTCTACCAGCACAAAACCAGCACAAAAAACATACAACAAAATATCATTTAATTATCTATATATAGGTATGTTTTTTTCAATACCATACACACATACTTTAGACCACCCTCTTTGCTTTTAGTGTCTGGCCAAGTGTTTGTCATGACCCAGAGGAAATTGAAAACACTTTTAACAGAGCTTGAAAACAGTGGGGCAGGTGCCTGCTGGTCTGACGGTGAGGGCTTTGCTTGGCGCTCATAATACTGAGTCAATGCACCGAGATGCGCTTGTCCTCGCCTGGAAGGTCGACTGACCCCGTCATAAGGGGTTTGTTACGCCTGGCCAACCGGGGGATTTTTCTTGACAAGGTAGGAGCCATTAAAGCACACCTTGTGCCTGTTTGGCTGTGTAGCCCTGAGTGACCCTGTCTGTGTGAATCACAGCTGATGATATTCATGTGCTGAGAGCACTGGGACTGAGCGCAGAGAGGCTGGAGGTGTCTGTACAAATGGATCACGCGCTGATCTGCTGCTCTGGGATGTGAACACTATTCACGTCACTAGTATGGCTAGCTTACTTCTTCCCCTGGTAGATGTTGCTATATTCAGTTTATGTTTTGATTATGAGAACAACATGACCTAAAAAAGACTTTTATCCTATTTATTCCAGCTGATCTTATGTAAGTCTATTTACAGTTAACATATTTCTGTAAAAGCTGTCTCCAGATATTCAGATTACATCTACAGAATAAATACATTAGAAAACACATTTCTTTAATTCATTTACTTAAATGGACAGATTAGACACACTCACACACGCATGCGTACACATACTCACATACAAAATAATAATAATAATAACCAGATTAGTTATCATTCTGTTGAAGACAAAAAAAAAATATATATATATATATTCTGAAAAATTTTGTAAACCCGTAATCTTCCATAGTATTTGTTTCTCTTTACTATGGAAGTCAATGGTTACAGGTTTCTAGCATTCTTCAAAATATCTTCTTTTGTGGTCAACAGAACAAGTTGAACTCATAAACTCATTAAGGTATGGAATCACTTCAATGTGACTCCTTTAATGTGCATGGTGTGTACATTTTCATCGTGTCCCTGTCTTATTGTGCCATCATTTCCTGATTTGGGAGATTTCTGTTTCTTTGGTTTGCTTTGTGTTCATAATCCAGTTGAGCTTATTTGGAAATATTTGAGACATCTTTTTAGAGGTCTCAGCTCACTTGTTTAATGCTTCTGATAGAAGCATTTATATTTATTAAATATAACCAGGCTAAAATTGCAAATGCTTACAAATCACTAATCAAACCAAACATTCTACACTCACCAGCCACTTTATTAGGTACACCTTACTAGTACCGGGTTGGACCCCCTTTTGCCACAGAACTGCCTCAATCCTTTGTGGCACGCAGTTGCTGCAGATTTGTTGGCTGCACATCCATGATGTGAATCGCTCATTCCCCAAAGGTGTTCTATTGGATTAAGCTCTGGTGACTGTAGAGGCCATTTGAGTACAGTGAACTCATTGTCATGTTCAAGAAACGAGTCTGAGATGATTCGTGCTTTATGACCTGGCACATTATCCTGTTGGAAGTAGCCATCAGAAGATGGGTAAACTGTGGTCAGCAACAATACTCAAGTAGGCTGTGGCGTTGACACGATGCTCAATTGAAACTAATGGGCCCAAAGTGTGCCAAGAAAATATCCCCCACACCATTACTCTAACAACATCAGCCTGAACTGTTGATACAAGGTAGGATGGATCCATGCTTTCATGTTGTTGACGTCAAATTTTGACCCTACCATTTGAATGTCGCATCAGAAATCAAGACTCATCAGATCATTCAACGTTTTTCCAATCTTCTATTGTTCAATTGTTGAGAGTCTAAGCTAAACGTAGCCTCAGTTTCCTGTTACTCAGCTGACAGGAGTGGCACCCGCTGGGGTCTTCTGCTGCTGTAGCCCATCCGCCTCAAGGTTTGGATTTGTTGTGCATTTAGAGATGCTCTTCTGCATACCTCGGTTGTAACAAGTGGTTATTTGAGTTACTGTTGCATTTTTATAAGCTCAAACCAGTCTAGCTATTTTTCTCTGACCTGATATTTTCTCTTTTTCTGACCATTCTCTGTATACTCTTGAGATGATTATGTGTAAAAATCCCAGTAGATCAGCAATTTTTGAAATACTCAGACCAGCTCGTCTGGCAACAACAACCATGACATGTTCAAAGTCACTTAAATCACCTTTCTTCCCCATTCTGATGCTCGGTTTGAACTGCAGCAGATCGTCTTGACCATATCTAGATGCCTAAATGCATTGAGTTGCTGTCATGTGATTGGTAGAATAGAAATTTGCATTAACGAGCAGTTGGACAGGTGTACCTAATAAAGTGGCCGGTGAGTGTAAGTGTGACTGTGAACATACTTTGATAGGGATATGTGAAAACATCAGAATATTAGGTTATTTAGTATATTTATATTTTCTCTAAAACTCTCTAACTTACTTCCATAGTCCCTGATGGTAAAGTTTCTGTTCCTGGTCTGTGAAGATTTGAAGTAGAAGCGGTGCTCAACAGCAGGCACGTCTTTGTCTGTGGCACTGAGGATCTGAATCACCTAGAGAACAGAAACAGAACAGTCCTCTGAATAAAACACCACAGAAAAGAGATGCAGATTTTGTAAATGCACTTATAGTGTTCAAACGACAGCAATAGTCTGTTTGATTGACAGAGCTGACGCGCTCTTCTCATCGAACCTCAAAGGGATCATTTGAGGTTTTTTACTGTCTTTATGACTCAACCACATGGGGCGTCATTTATGACTGCTGCGCTGTCAACTCCATACACGCGTGAAGACAAAGTCAAGTATTATGAGAGAATGACAGCATTAGCAGAGCAGAGAAGAAATACATTTTTCTATTCTCTTTATGTTAAGTCTGCAAAAAATTATCTCTTTTCATCATTGATTATTTATTCATTCATTCATTCATTTTCTTTTCATGTTAGTTCTTTATTAATCAGGGGTCACCACAGCGGAATGAAAGGCTAACTTATCCATCATATGTTTTACACAAAGGATGCCCTTCCAGCTGCAACCCAACACTGGGAAACACCCATACACTCTTGCATTTACACACATACAGTACACTACAGCCAGTTTAGCTTACCCAATTCACCTGTACCGCATGTCTGGACTTATGGGAACAAATCTTGACAGATATTTCTCTTTGAAATTGTGAGTAACATACTGGGCAGCTGTCTTTGTTTTGGTTCCTTTTACCAGCCCAATGCCACTTTAGCCAATTATATTTTTCAGCACCTTTGATTGCCATGTTAGAAAACAGCCTATTTCATTCATTCAGTCAGAAAGGCTCTCAAAGCATGCGTTCATGACCAAAATACGACCTCCGATAGACAGCAGCAGTCTTCAAAATGACACGCAGATTCAGAGTTCCACATGGAGTCTTGCCAGATTGGGCGGTTTTGAATTTGATTGTGCGGGTGAAAAATGTCATAGGTGGGTAGTGAAAATTTGGGCAGTTTTGAAATGGCGCTCCTAAATACAATTTATTTCAAACTATCAGTTCAAATACTCCTCCAGAAAATCTTTAAATTGATATAGATGGGATTTGATTAATGAATTATTGCTTTTGCATACAAATTTAATTTATTCCCTCTGCAAGAGTCTGTGTTGATCAGTCGCCTGTCTTCAGCGAATTTAGAAAAGTCTTTGTTGTGTCATCTACAGTATTTTGCACATCTCTGCATATAAGCAAGGGAGCGGCGTCTGCTATGAACGACTGAATAGAGAGACACTGATAGGCAGTGTTGTACTGGGAGTAGCTCTCTTTCAGCATGAAAGAAGAAGATCAAGGCACACTTCTTTCACATTAATTCACAACAGCACCCGAAAACAGGCCCGGAAACTGAATCTCAGGTAGTTTATACACATGCATACGTACCTGTCCTGCTTTCGCGTTTTCACAAACAAACGTTTCGTACACAAAGGCAAGTTCTGGAGGAAACTCGTTGACATCCAGCACCTTGATAGTGACTGTAACTTTGCTGGACAGCTGGGGATTGTCTAAAAAAGATCAAACAAGACATTGTCCATGAATCAGATCAGAAGAAACGACAAAAACGAAGACACATTTCATACTTGAAATGGATGAAAGGAATAATGAAGAATTCGACTTTGTTATACTGACGAGCAGAGAGAATTTGATGAATTTGATGTTTCTTTCATTCTATAATAAAGCACACTCATTCTTTTTCTAGCTATAAAATATAATAATTATAATAATATTAAAAACCAATATATTTTGGGCTGAGAAAAATCTGACCCTAACCCTAACTTTTTTGTTGCATCTGCCTTTCATTAGCCAAACAGCTTGATGATATATAAAAGTACCTATTTAATTGGTCTCTTGACAGTTCTCTAGTTTAAGCTAAGCTTTTATTTCTTTATTTACAATTTAGAAATGTTATTTATGCATCAGTGAAGCTGCTGTATTTTTATTTTTCTCCACTAGATGGGGATGTGGTATTTCTGATTTGAGCCTATAACGCTCATCCTCATTTCAGTCTTCTATGATATTCACCATGTGAATCTGCTGTGCTGTTGGTATCTGGGATCTGGATAAAACAGTCCACCATACTTACTAACTTTTGTTGCTACAACAGTGACGTTGTGTTCAGCATTTCTCTCACGGTCCAGGGCTTCACTGATAGACAGAGTTCCTTCAACAGGGTCGATTGCAAAGTGGTTTTCGGCATCCTTTCTCCATTCAACAGAATATCTACAAAACAGTTCATCAAAGACAAAAAACAACAAGCAAATGTCAAAAAATTAGGTCACACAGGTACAGACATATTAAAATTCAGCTTGTTAATGCTCTTTAAAACAAAGGTTCGTTATTGGCATTTACTGTATGATTCCAATACGAACTTTTAAAATCAATAGAACCTTTAAATTCCACAAGAGGTTCTTTATGGTGGAAATGTGTGCTTTAAATTATTAAAATGCTGTTGTTTTTTAAATGCTAAAAACAAACAAATGGTTTCTTGGATGGATTCATACTGAATATTTGAGATAAAATGATAAAAAATAAAAATAAAAAAAAAACGAAGTTAAGTGATGGATACTGATAAAAACTGATCCATTTAATGATATATTTGTTAACCACCTTGCAACATATGGATTAGTTTAACAGCAGATGTATGTGCACGTGGTTGCTTTTAAAAAGGGTCACTAAATCAACATCAATATGCATCTTGAAAGAGCACAGATCAAATTGAAAACTACTTATTAATTTAAAATTATTATTATTTTTTATTTTTTATTATTAGGCGAGGCAGTGGTGCAGTAGGTAGTGCTGTCGCCTGGTTTCTTGAACATGACAACAAGTTCACTGTACTTAAATGTCCTCCATAGTTGCCAGAACTCAAATAGAGCAACTTTGGGATGTGGTGGAACGTGAGATTGGCATCATGGATGTGTATCTGACAAATCTGAAGCAACTTCGTGATACAATCGTATCAATATGAACCAAAATCGAAGGGATTAAGGCAGATCTGATGGCAAAAAGGGTTTAACCAGGTACTAGTAAGGTGTACCTAATAAAGTGGCCTGTGAGTGTATATATTGGCAAAATATATATGTTGTTTACAACCAACATGTTAAAATGAGAAGCGTTATATTTCTCCATGGGTTTTAATTAGATGGCTTAAATCAGTGTTTAAAGGGATTCTCGAGTAATTTATGCTTTTTTCCCATCTTTTTTGTCATAAATTCAAAGTTGTAATGTTGTTATTCACCTTGCAGCTTGCTAGTGTAGTTCATGGTTTATATTACAATAATAACTGTTAAAAATGTAAAACACGCTTCCAGAAAAAAAGTCAGTGGACACTAATGTTCTCTGTTGCTTGGCAATCTTTAATGTATAAAGCGGTGCTACAAAACTGCAGTCACGTCCTTCTGCTTCAAGGGAGACTCAACAACAAAAAAAAAAAAAAATATGACTGCTGGGAAATGATTGAACATTTTTTTTGCCTTTAAAACATTGGCTTAAAACACCGAAAGGCGACAAAAGCAGGTTTTTGAGTAAAATAGGACAGCAAAAACTAATTCCTGTTATATTTTCATTGACTCACAAAAGTCTTTATTAGAGACATTTTTTTCAACAAACTTTTTGACTTGAGTAGACTGTCAGTGCACAGGGCCCAGACATCAATGAACATTAAAACAAATACATGTTTATGTTGAACACATATACCTACACTGTAGGAAAAATATTACCAATTAGTCCTGACAGCATATGTTTTTAGGTCATTGTAACATATTAAGCTAAGTCAATCATGTTCTAACTTAATTTTATAAGTTACACAAGCAGTTTTAAGTCAATTTTTGATGCAATTTGATTCAGCTTAAAATGTCAGGATACAAGGATTTTTTCACAGTGTAGTCTAGAAAATTATTCAGCATTTAGTTTTTGAGGTCAGAAGAGTAGGTCTTCTCAAAATAATATAATCCATTTTCATTACAATTACTATGCAGTTATTTTGGTTTTGAATGTTTTATTTGGAAGAACAATATTTCTTTTTTATATGTCTTTATTTTCTCTTTCTTGCTGGTAGGAATTCAACACAACGTAAAACTGTTATCTAAATAAAATTGTTAACTAATCTTAATATTACATAGCATATTATTTGATTAAATAAGGACTACTACAGATGCTGTTGTACACGAAGATGTATATTTTTCAGTTCAGATTCAGTTCCATTTTAGTATGTGAATAAGCACTCGTGGTCTCTTTGAACCTATGTGCTACTTTCATCCCACTGCTGTGCCTTTCAGAAACCCTTGTTTCTTTAGTACAAGGAGCCCAGTGGATCAGTGAAAAGAGGAAGTCTGTGTTTCCCTGTAGCGGTAGACCTTTATCAGGGTTTTATTCCTGCTCCGTCCTGTCCTGTCTCAGGTGTCTCTCTACCTGTTTGCCCGAGGTATCATGCTATTCAAGCAAATCCTCAGCCGGAGTCTCAACTGGATTCTTCTAGTAAGTGCTTCTGGCTTTGCAAAACGAATTCTGCAGTCAGATCATCTCTTAGCATATTCCAACCTCTGGTCAGGTTATACATTTGAAATAAAGTCAAAATGTAAGTTCAACTTTGGGGGGTCAGAATATAACAGAATTCATCATGTTTGCAAATGCATTATCCTGGGGATTTATAATGTATAATGTTTATGGGCTGATGCATGAATATTGCATAATGTCAAATATATGTGTTGTAGATGTTTTTGAATGTAAATGTTTATACATAGTTTTCTATGTAACATAGTACGCATAATCCTAGTAACATAATACTAACATAACATTCCATGTATCATTAATCCAGAATTTACACTATCTTTCCAAATTTTAGGAACAATGAATAATAACTTGATTTCTTGTTGATCATTTGGTATCAGAAGTGACTTATAAAAAGGCAAAAGCCAATTAATTATGCTTATTTTGCCATAACAAACCATGATTGTGTCTTAAATTTAATTGATTTAATTAGGACAGTAAGATCTGACTTTGCTTAGACAAGAGTCTTGTCACTTAACAAAAATAATTTACAGTATAGAATAAAATGTCATGGTGGAGTGAAAAAAGAATTCATATTGTGTATAACTCCTATGAGCTTGGAGGACTGCATCCATAATTCTCTGCAATGACTCAAATGTCTTATTAAAGTTATTTGGAATGGCAAAGTACGCATTCGTGCAGGACTCCAAGGGTTTATCAAGATTCTTTGAATTCATCTTCAATGCTTCTTTTTCAATCTTACCCCATGTTCAATAATGTTCATGTTTAGTGACTGGGCTGGCCAATCCTGGGACACCTTGACCTTCTTTGCTTTCAGGAACTTTGATGTGGAAGCTAAAGTATGAGAAGGAGTGCTATCCTGCAGAAGAATTTTGCTCTCTTCTGTGATATGTAATGTAATGGGCAGCACAAATGTCTTGTTACCTCAGGCTGTTGATGTTCACAACCCCAAACCCCAAGCCATGATTTCCTTCACCAAATTTGACTGATTTCTATGAGAATCTTGGGTCCATACGGGTTCCTATAGGTTTTCTGCAGTATTTGTGATGATTGGGATGCAGTTCAACAGAGGATTCATCTAAAAAACATCTACCTTCTGCCACTTTTCCCAAATGATCAACTTGAAGTCAAGTTATTATTTGTTGCTCCTACAACTGGGATTGACGACAAGACCTTTGTCAGGTAGTGTAGTGTAATAGATCTTTTTATTAATCAAAATGAATATAAAGAGATATAAGCCACAAATCAAACCAACCACCACTGAATGAATAATAACATCACAATTTACAATTTTATTTGAACCAAAAAATCTATATGAAGTTTAGTAAAAAAGGTTACTATATAAAAAATCGGTTTACTCAAAAATGACAATTCTGTTAATAATAAATCATTATTATCTTGTGTCAAACTCTTGGGGGCATTTGTTTATCATCAAAACACAAATTAAGATTTTTTGGATGAAATTCAAGAGCTTTCTCATCCTCACAGACACTAATGGTCCTGAGATTTTCAAAATCCAACCAATACATTGTCAATACATTCCATGTAACTTCAAACCATTCAACTTTAATCATACCGGTACAAATCGCTGTGTAAAAGAATGTGTGACAAAAAACTGAATAACAACTATATTGGCCAATTTTTCCCACTTCAGATCAGGGTGCGTGTTTACTACGGGTACTGCTGATACTAATTGCTTGTAGTAATAGTTCACAATGACCTGATGCAGAAGAAAAGATGGGCTGATTTGTTCATACATTTTTTTGGCACACAAAAATGTTCTTGGAACTTCATGTCATTGAGGTTAAATGGAATGCTATAATAATGTTTTTTGTACCTATTCTGGAGTTCTCATCTAGTTTTGTCACATAGCTGTATATGGAGGATGAGAACACATTTGTTTAATCTAAAACATCTTAATTTGTGTTTTGAAGATTAGCTAAGGTCTCAGGGATTTGGAACAACCTCAGAGTGAGTAATAAATATTAGAATTTACATTTTTGATAATCTAAGCCTTTAAGTAAATTACATTTGATGGACAATATGAACAGTTACTTCTTGTGCTTTTTTTACCAAACAAAGTTAATGCATAACAAATTGTATGATTTCGGATTGCATGGGGTAAATTCAATCTGTATAAAGTGCTTTAAAACAAGTACCGTAATGTTTTGGTATTAGTTTAGTAAGTAAGTGATGTAAGTAATGTGTATTTATGTAGCACATTTATTGTGTATGGCCATACACCTAATAGCCGCATTTCCACTATCGCGTCTAAAGCGAGCGAGCCAGGGCGAGCCAAGGCTAGTCGTGTTTCCACTGTCACTTCAGGGGCCTAATCGAGCCAAATCAGGGCTTTTTTGGGGCCAGCAACCGGCCTCAGAATACCTTGGGCCAAAGAGGGCCAGCCTGGGCTTCGGGGCGGAGTGAAAGGAGAGGACGGCACAGTTTTCCGATCGCACACGAGTACATGCGCCAAACACATAGCAAATAAATAAATAAGGGAAAGAAAATATCTGGAACAAATTATAGGCTGGGGTCTTTTTGCGTATGATCGCCCTTATGTTTATCTTTTAAATGTAAGGCTGATGCATAAAATAATAAAGTAGTTTTTATTTATAAGTGACTTTTCTTTGCTGCATCCTCCTTGATGTTTTAATAACGCATGATAATTTTACACCATATTAAAGACAAAGCAGACAGTAAAGGTTTTTGAGAGTTTTTGTCAAGTTTAAAAGGTGTGTTTATGTGTGTTTAGATGCCTATGTGTGTGTATGAGACCGAGGAAAAGAGCGCTCCCTTTATAGCTCTGTTGATGCCGCGAGCGGCTTTTTTCTTTAATTTTTTATTGTTTTTTATTTATTTTGGAGATAATACACTATATGAATACAACAGAAAGACATTAAACTTTACAAATTTCGTGTCCACTTTTGTAGGCTCAAAACAATAGTGTCATATGTGGATAAAATAGACTAAGCTATATTGAAATAATTTAAAGAATTACAAATATCAGATATAATAAATTCACATTAAATAAATAAACCAATATAAAACTAACAAAAGTTAGCTATAACAATTAGGTACTATATCAAACTGTTTTAAAGCCATTAAAATTTCATTTTTCAAAAGCCTCTCTGAAAAAAAAAGATTTTAGACATTTTCTAAAAACAATAAACACTGGAGAATGTTTTAAATATTTTTTATAAAGTATTTGGATACGATGATATTAATCAAATCATGCAAACAGAGCATTTTTGTGGTGAGTGAAAGCCGACTAGACAACCTTTTTTTCTGTCTGCAGCTGCGCAGCACTTTACAGATGCATCGGGGGAAAACTGCAAGTTCAAAATGTGTTCTGTGTCCTCAAACAAGTGTGTATGTTTTTATATGACGTGGTAAAATTAAAAAAGGAAATTTTAAATAAATAAAGAGCTTTATTAGTGCATAGCTGCTGAGCGCAACGAAATATAGGCTATATTTTACTATGTGCTGCTCTTATGTGGTGAAACACTGAACACTTTCCTTTACTTAAGATATAATAAGCAACATCTTTAAATAAAAGGAATCACCTATTAAGTGTCATAAAGCCTTTAGGGAAAAGTTCATGTTTCAGTTCTCTCCGGAGCATTTGGGATGAATGTTGGACAGCGTATGTCTAACTGAGGACGTTATAAAATACATTTTATATCGAGTTATTAACGGAGAATTTTATATATGTGGTTTTTTATATTATGGATGTGTGCGCTCTGCGCTGGTTCCCTCCGTTAGTGGCAAGACCACTGGATTTCGATGCCAACAGTCGGTCGGCGAGTAAATGAATATGATGAATGAGAACACACAGGTATGTGCGTATAGACATATATTGTACTGCTGTACAGTAACGTGTCATTTGTTTGTTTTGGTTGTCCTCATTTTAATAGTTTCGTGATGATGTGGTGTGCTTTATCTGCCTGATTCCCGCTGAAGTGGGCGGGTTGTGTGACGTTCAATACGGGGGATGTTCTGGGGGCGAGGTTTGCGTGACTTGCTGCGAGCTACTAGCCCGACAGTGGAAACGCGACATGATTTCGGCCTCACTGCTCAACCACCCGGGCGATTGGCCCGGCCTGGCCCGATAAAAGCCCTGGCTCGCACTGGCCCGATAGTGGAAATGCGGCTAATGTGCTTCACAATCATGAGGGGGGGTCCACACCACCACTAGTGTGCAGCATCCACTTTGATGATGCGACAGCAGCAATAGAAACCAGGTGCAGCCTTTATGATGCAAGCTGAGATTGCATCACTCAGCGAGGGGTAAGGCAAGGCAAGGCAAGGCAAGGCAAGGCAAGGCAAGGCAAGTTTATTTATATAGCACATTTCATACACAATGGCAATTCAAAGTGCTTTACATAAACAAGAATAAAAGAAACAAGTAAAATAAAAATAAAAACAAATAATAAAAATGCGTAAAAACAAAACAAAACATATAAAAGAATGAAAAAGAAGAGAAAAACATGATAGTGCAATCTGTCGGACGCAGCACAGTGCTCATTCAGTAAAGGCACAGCTAAACAGATGTGTTTTCAGTCTTGATTTGAATGTGCCTAATGTTGGAGCACATCTGATCATTTCTGGAAGCTGATTCCAGCAGCGAGGGGCATAGTGGCTAAAAGCCGATTCACCCTGCTTTGACTGAACTCTTGGAACTTCTAGTTTATATGATCCTAATGATCTGAGTGATCTGTTAGGTTTGTATTCAGTGAGCATATCTGTGATGTATTTAGGTCCTAGGCCATTTAGTGATTTATAGACCAGTAATAATACTTTAAAATCTATTCTGAATGTAACTGGCAGCCAGTGTAAAGACCTGAGGACAGGTGTGATGTGCTCTGATTTTCTGGTTCTGGTTAGAATTCTGGCTGCAGCGTTCTGGATGAGCTGCAACTGTCTGACTGTCTTTTTAGGAAGACCAGTAAGGAGTCCATTACAGTAATCCACCCTGCTGCTGATAAAAGCATGAACAAGTTTCTCTAAGTCTTCACTGGAAACAAAGCATCTGATTCTTGCTATGTTTTTGAGATGATAGTATGCTGATTTACTGACTGCTTTGACATGACTGTTAAAACTCAGATCTGACTCAAGAGTCACACCCAGATTCTTGACCTTATTTTTTGTCGTTTGACCATTAGTGCCAAGGTACGCATTTACCTTGAGAACCTCATCTCTGTTCCCAAACGCAATGACTTCAGTTTTCTCTTTGTTGAACTGAAGAAAGTTTTGGCACATCCAATTGCTCATTTCATCAATGCATTGGCAGAGGGTGTCAATGGGGCTGTAGTCATTAGGCTGTAAGGCTAGGTAGATCTGAGTGTCATCAGCATAGCTGTGGTAGGAGATTTGGTTCTTTCTCATTATTTGGCTTAGAGGGAGCATGTAAAGGTTGAACAGGAGAGGTGCCAGAATCGAGCCTTGTGGGACTCCACACGTCATGGGTGTCCACCTCGACCTATGGTCACCTATACTGACATGGTAACCTCTCCCTTCAAGGTAAGATCTAAACCATTTGAGGACTGTCCCAGACAGCCCAACCCAGTTTTCCAGCCTATCCAGAAGTATGCTGTGATCGACAGTGTCAAATGCAGCACTGAGATCCAACAATACCAGCACTGTTATTTTACCTGAATCTGAATTTAGGCGTATATCATTGATTATCTTTATAAGAGCGCTCTCTGTGGGAACAGAGAGGGTTAGGGGTGGGGTTAGGTGAGCCTATTAAAAAGCATTGGATGCAGCACAGATTGCACTACACCAGGTCTGCTTCCAGACCCCTCTCGACAGCAGGCACAGGACAACAGCACCAGTGCGCTCACCCCACAGCAGCTATAGGTGAAGTGGAGAGACAGTGATAGAGCCAATTCGGTGGATGGGGATGATTGGGAGAACATAATGGTAAAGGCAGATGGAGGGAATTTGGCCAGGACACCGGGGTAACACCCCTACTCTTTATGAGAAGTGCCATTGGATTTTTAATGACCACAGAGAGACAGGACTTCAGTTTTTCTCAAAGACAGTGCTCACTGACAGTATAGTGTCCCCTTCACTTTACTGGGGCATTAGGACTCAGACTGCAGGTTAAGCACCCCCTGCTGGCCTCACTAACACCACTTCCAACAGCAACCTAGTTTCCCCATGTGGTAATGGCTCAGCTCTGCTTAGTTTTAGTGAAGTTAAGTAGGTGGAGGGCAGATGTGTTCTTGTCTCCAAACACACATCAGTTGTGTTCCTACTGAGTAAATGTTTATGGTTCCTACTGAGTAAATGAGTATGAATAAAGTATTCATAGTGGAACCAACAGTCTGTCAAATAAATATCAGATACAAAATAATTACCGCTCACAGTTTAATTCAAATGAACTTCTAAATGCAACACATAATTTATCCAACACGAAATGCACTTCAGTAAAATATTTAACACAATCTAAGAGTTTTTAAATTACTAACAACTCTATTTATGTACCTCCATGAAATATTCATATTAAAACAAATACGTCCGTAAAGACAATGCGCTAGTGTCAAGCTCCCAGCTGCTTTTAACATCAACATTGTACATAACACTTTCAGGCGCTTAAATGAAGGCCTAAAAAAAGCAAATGTGCCACATTAAATAAAGTCCACACTTGCAAACTACGCAAGAAGTTTGTCAGGATGCATTGAATCAAAGCTCTGCAGACTACGTTCAAAACAAGACTGCCGAATGGACGAAACCCACAGGACCACAGGTTTGTTATTGTTTCATGTTGTCTATAATACTTGCACTTGTTCATGTAGAGTGCTTCTGAAAGGAGTTCCCAAAGGACATTCTGTAAATACACATTTATTTAAAAGGCGAGTGAAGTTGCAAGTGCTTCAGTTTTACCCATGTCAGTCTGCTGCAGGTCATTTTGTTTTTATGATTCACTCACTAATTACTTTGATTTAAGCTAAAAAGCCAGGAATCAAAGTAATTAGAGAGTGAATCGTAACATTGCAAAGCTATCCAAACAGATACAAGCAGTATCAGTCAGAACAAAATATAACCAAATATTATGCACATTTTGTATTGTTACTGTATTGTTGCCAGCCGAATGAACTAAACCGATGAGACCAGGGATTTTCTTCTCATGTTGTCTAGTGTGCTTTTACCTGTTACTTTTAAAAGAAGTTCCCACAGGACATTGTGTAAATAAGTGTGTGTTCGAAGGAAAGTAGAAGTGTGCATGCTTTGATCTACATTTGTATGATTGTGTTTCTCACATACCTAACAGGACTGTTGCTTACATCCAGGTCTTCAGCATTGACAGCACCAACAATGATGCCCACCGGTGTGTCTTCATACGTCTCCATGTTGTAATACAGCCGGCTGAAGACAGGAGGCTCTTCCACATCCAGAACATTGACTTTCACCATGGCAGTGTCCTTAAAAGGTCCCAAATGTAAGAATCGATGATCAAGAACTGCGTTTGAAGCTTCCACTTTAAAGGTGTAGGCCTTTCTGGTCTCAAAGTCCAGACGCTGTGAAATGAATAATAAAACTTCATCAGTTCTAAAGGCTTTTAAATTCACAGACTAATCTCTTTTTTGGTGTTCATTTGTGGACGGAAGCGTTGTCAAAAATGTTCATGCTGTGTACAGTCAAAAAAAGAAAACAAAACAAAGTTACTGGGTCATAAAATGCATGATCTAAGTTAAATTCTTCAGGCTCACGCTGAGATCAGAAGCTGAGGGAACGGAAAGGAAAGGATGCCTCTTACTTTACCCTGAATCACAGGAGGGAGAATAAAGGTAGAGAAGACGAAAGCAGGCAGAAAATGTCTTTGGTCAGTGCCTCTTGCATCACTGTGCTTATTCAGCCATGTGAAGGCAGACTTTGGAACAGTCACACCTCAAAAGAAAAGTGCTGTGGTCATACTGAACAGACTGGAGACAACAGAACTTAAGACCCCCAAATGTTTAACTTGTAAGTTATAGTGTGAAAATAAAGCTTGCAAAATCACTATATGTGTTTGTAATGAGGCCACAGGCACATGTGCTTGTTTGTAATGAGGCAATAAACACACATAAACTGCTAAAAGATCGTGTTTAATGCACATGTATGCATTGTGTCATATCTCTTAGCTCTTACTGTGATTTACTGGAGTAAAGGTATGCCAATAAACCTCAAAAACGAATCTGTTTATGCAGAGGCAATGCTGGTCGTGAGGGGGGTGGTGGGGGGTTAACAAGCTTGCCCCCAGCCCCTAAATTTATGTGCGAGATCAGCCATTGGTGGTAGTCGGAGATATGACTGAAGCCTGTATTTTGTCAGCGACAGTGTTGCGCGCATCAGCTTCCCACATTCGTCAGATGTCAAACCCTAAATTAGCACAACTCTAGTCATATTTATGTTGTAAAAAAATTACCAAAATGTCCACTGTTGATTATATTAGAATTTTGTTTTTAATAGCAATTTTAAAACTTTTAATCTTATGGGCTAAGCATGGGTATTATTAATCAGAAATTGAGTGCACATAGTTTTACGTTAGGAAACACAGTCTTGAATTTACAAACAGTCAGTTTGTAGTCAAGTTCCAGAGAATAGATGGAACACATTGATCAAATGTAGTTTTTAGTCACGCTTATGTAAAAGTAATATTTAACTTGTTTAGTTTTGCCTTCACTCATTTTTTGCTTTTAGTAATGTCATAAAGCATGTTGATTTGGATGTTATGTATGAATTTTGTATTTTAATGTTTTTATTAGTCTTTGTTGTTGTGTATTAATGTAATTTTGTGTTATGTTCGATGGACCCCAGGAAGAATAGCCACTACCTTGGTAGTGGCTAATGGGGATCCTGATAAATAAAAAAAAAAATAAAAAAATAAAGCACTAAAGAGTCTTCAAACACATGATTTTTTACGACACATTTTTAAATATAATAGTTTAACTAATTTCTAATAACTACTTTTTTTGTCTTTCCCATGGTGACAATCAGTGTATAATGTTTTACTAGTTATTTTGGAAGTTGTATTCAGATTAAAGTGTAATTTAAAGACTTAGCTAGGTTATGCTATCTAGTAAAGTTAGAATAATTAGTTATTGTATAACTGGTTTGTTGTGTAGACAATTAAATAATATACAGTTGAGTAAATATTTTGAAATTAGGCTAATAAAACTGACCTTAATTAATATTTTTATTTTTATTTCTTTCAAGAAAAACTATAGAAAACAAAACTTATTATGGCTCAAAAATAATTATTTTTGTTTGATACCAACTTTTTAGGTAGTAGTTTGGTAATACATACTTCAGTGAATCAATTTTATGAATGTACTTAAATTACATCTCATTTGTTAATAAAATGTATACGTTTTAAGTGTTTTGAGGGATATTTAGTGACTGATTTAGAGGTTACTGTCGGTCAAAGTACACAATTTATGTGTCTAATTTTTCTTTTTTTAAAGCTACATGAAGAAATAAACACATATTTTACTAGAAACCTGTTTTGTGAATACTTACAATGTCTTCTGGTGGTCTAGAACTGCCAGTTTCAGACTGTAGAATCTTAATTTGCCTAGCTTTTATTGGCGTGATTATGCATTCACAATGGTTTAACCAGTTATGGGTGGTCAAGAGCATATGTTTATTATACATTTTTAATTATTATTATTTAAGATACAAATCAGAGAACAGGGAAAGCTATTTTTTGCCATTAAAGGGCTAACCCTTACATCTTGTTTTAATGTCTTTCAGGTAATTAGGGGGGCAACCCTAGAGCCCCCCACCCCCCGGTTAATTCGCACCCTGCGTTTAGTAGACACCACAGTTCATAACAAAGGCAACTTGTAGATTAATTGCAGAGTTTATATATAACAGTGAAGTTCCACATGTTTTTATAAAGCCTGGCATTGCAAAAACGATATTACAACCACGTTTAATGTATTCAGTCCTAGGAAACAAGATATTTGTAGCTTAGAGAGATGTCTCGCAGTAAAGTCTAGTGTTATTGTTTCTTTTATTATTTAATTTCTGTACCACAATATATTTAGAGACAAAAATATTTTTTAGAGAAAAATAAAATTAATCAAGCATTAAGCGCTGTTTATTTAATTTGTATCTTTATTATATTTTATTTTTTCCCGAATAGAGCTATTCAGATATTTTAGTGAAATTGTTTTCATGTCACAAAAACAAAATATTTTAATGTCAGTTTGTTCTAATGACATGCAGTCCTAAAGCAAATCAATGGATGAATGTATCAATCAATAAATTACTGCAAAGATAAACAAATACATGTCTTAAAACTAGAATAACTGATAATTTATTACACTAAGATCTTTGGAGCAATGACAAACAAAGCAAGACAAAATAGAGCAAGAAAATTAGCCCAATTAGCTTCGCTCTTTTCTCAGACGATAGGAGCGACATTAGAACACAAAAGATAAATCATGTCCTGCTGATTTGCTTTTCCTACTAATAGTTGCCTGATTGGTTGTGCATAACTGTGGCTTATGAAAAAAGGGCCATGCAAATAAATAAATAAATGCTTTGAATGCGGTAAGAGTTATTATTTATTGATTTAACGCTTTTCCAGCATCCTCATCAACATTTTAGAATTGTTAAAAAACAAACATTTATTATTCATTTTCAGCATGACTCTGCCTGCTTTAGTCATTCTCAACCAGAATATAGTGTGTCAGAAAAATGAAAAAATAAAACTTAAAAGAGTACTTAGATATATTTCTTGTTTAGCAATAATATAATTTCTTATTTTTTTCATCACTAAAACTGATTAATCATTTGCACCCTCATCAACATTTTACAATTGTTAACATAACACGAATAAATGTATCATTTTTATCAAGCCTCTGCATAAACCATTCAATTCCAGAGTGTAGTGTGCTATTCTGGGAAAAAAATAAATACATTTCACGAGTTCGCACTTGCATTCGTTTAAGTATAAAGCGTATTTGGCGTGCTGTCCGGGGGGAGGGCTCTGAGCTCGAGGAGACACCCCAACTCGAGTTATTCCCCTTATAAGGAAACAAAGAGGAGTTGGGATTCGAGCGAAGTATCTAGCCCGGCCCCAGAGCGCTCCCCCCGGGAATGAAATGCAAGAGGTGAGGTGACGGGGTGGTGGAGGGACGCTGAAGTCGTGAGATGCTGCAGGTAAGACAGCTTTGGTATATATAGGCGTTGCTCAGAAACTGATTTGATGATGGGATAATTGTCAATGACGTATTCGATACTGAAACTTCTGCGCATGCTCCTCCCGAAATTTGTTTACAAACATCACTTCACGAGTTCGCACTTGCATTCGTTTAAGTATAAAGCGTATTTGGCGTGCTGTCCAGGGGGAGGGCTCTGAGCTCGAGGAGACACCCCAACTCGAGTTATTCCCCTTATAAGGAAACAAAGAGGAGTTGGGATTCGAGCGAAGTATCTAGCCCGGCCCCAGAGCGCTCCCCAAAAAACGCTATTTGTTACAGGACAGCAGCCAGACAATGTGCAAGCCCCCCAAAATTTGCTGATCTTAAGAATTTGGAGGGGTGCTGTTGAGTTATAAGGTATGTGTTTCGGGAGGAAGCAGTTGCTGTGTTGATAGTGGTGCATGATGAATGTCTCTAGCAAGAGTGTCTGCTCCCACAGGAGACGGGCGTCTTCCGTGGGAGTGGTCACTGCATTAGCAAAGTTGTGTGTTAAAGTATGCATCCCCGTAATAGCTGTCACTGTGCTGACAGTGGTGTATGATGAGGTATGAGTCTCTCATAGGAGTGGTCACTGCGCTTGCAGTGCTGCGTAAGGTGTACGTCTCCCATAGGAGCAGTCACTGCGCTTGCAGTGGTGCATAATTATAAGGTGTACGTCTCCCGTAGGAGCGGTCACTGCACTTGCAGTGGTGTATAGTTATGAGGTGTACGTCTCCCGTAGGAGCGGTCACTGCGCTTGCAGTGGTGCATAATTATAAGGTGTACGTCTCCAGTAGGAGCGGTCACTGTACTAACAGTGGTGCATAATAGTAAGGTGTGTGTCTCCTGTATGAGGTATGAGTGGTTACTGCCCTAGAGGCAGTGTGTAATAAGGTGTATGTCTCCTGTAGGAGCAGTCACTGCGCTTGCAGTGGTGCATAATTATAAGATGTGCGTCTCCCGTAGGAGCAGTCACTGCATTTGCAGTGGTGCATAATTATGAGGTGTACGTCTCCCGTAGGAGCGGTCACTGTACTAACAGTGGTGCATGATAATAAGGTGTGTGTCTCCTGTATGGGGTATGAGTGGTCACTGCCCTAGAGGCAGTGTGTAATAAGGTGTATGTCTCCTGTAGGAGCAGTCACTGCGCTTGCAGTGGTGCATAATTATAAGATGTGCGTCTCCCGTAGGAGCAGTCACTGCATTTGCAGTGGTGCATAATTATGAGGTGTACGTCTCCCGTAGGAGCGGTCACTGTACTAACAGTGGTGCATGATAATAAGGTGTGTGTCTCCTGTATGGGGTATGAGTGGTCACTGCCCTAGAGGCAGTGTGTAATAAGGTGTACA